AATCTAAGATTTGAAAATTAAAAACAAGATTCCTTATAAGATTATCTACCTTTATCAAAAAAAAAATGTCTATAAGAAAGTCAAATTAAATTTTTATGAGCATTTGAAATTCAAATTTTACAACATTGAATATTCACTCGATTTCCCATGTAGCGATTTCCTTATTTTGTTGTAATTCAAAAACATATAACTGTAGATACATGAAAATTTCACTGAATGTTTATATTAGCATTTCCTATACACCATACAATTTTGAAAATATTTTGACTCTTTTTGAGCTGTTTATGGACATTACAGCTTTCAATTTTTTTTAGTTTTTTTTTCTATAAATATCAATAAAGTTTTATCTGTTGGGCCAAAAAGTGTAAAAATTTAATACAAGGCTCCTGATATATTGTTACAATAGCAGTTGAAAAATATTAAAAATACATAGGCACAGTTTTTTTTTATAAGCATTTAAATATCAGATTTTGACAAAATTTATCAAAATCTCGAAAATTAAATTATCAATCATTGAAATTAATAAATTATAAAATGTTCAGTTTTTATAGCTAAGGATTGCAAATTTAAAACAAAGGTTCTCATAAATAGTTCATACTGTAACCAAAAAATCTAAAAAATATATGAACACAGTTATTTTTTACAGACATTTTAAATTCAAATTTGGACGAAATTACATATTAAAAAACCTAGAATAACTATTTTAGTTATTTTGTTGTGATTGAATAATATTATTCGTGGGTACTTGAAACTTCTAAAGTGTACTATTATATATCTATGATAGTATCACGGTTTTTGTTGATGTATAACGCGTTATAAGTACCTAATGGACATTGTGATATGATTAATTTGGAATTTATTATAGGTACCTATTATAGGTCAATTTTTTGTTTTATAAGACATATTATATACATATATAATATGTCTTATACATAGACTGACATACCGTCTCCGCTCAGAATCGTTTTTCTTATACAATGATATTATATCGTTGAATTCAAATTTAATATCATCCATTATACAGTGACCCACTTGTAACCTACTGTACAGCAGAGCGACATCCACTTACCCACCTTTTTTTTTTTAAGTCCGGGAACAAATTTAATAGTTTTTACGTAACTACCCATTTAGTGTATGATAATATATATATCTACCCAAAATATTTATGTTTGCCTATAACAACTACCTATACCTACAGCATTGCAGTTAATGATTATAAATTAGATAGGAAGATATATAGATGTATAAAGTATAAAACCTGTATAAAAATCGGTTTAAGAAATAATAATCGTGATTTAAAATAGCTAAAAAACATTTGTATGTTCATAGTCTATTTTTTTCACCACGGTAATTTCACAACGTTCAAGGCAGGATGTCCCGCTTGAACACAATTATTTTACCGCGGTGAAAATCACGGGGAGATTTCACACTCGTTGTCCACCTATTCGCCGCTCACACAAAAATATTTACCGTATAGCATTATACGGGGAGATTTCACACTCGTTGTCCACCTATTCGCGCCTCACACAAAAATATTTACCGTATAGCATTTTACAGGGAGATTTCACAATTTTTGTCCACGAATTCTTCGTTTCAGAAAAATATTTACCGTGTACACACTAAATGTTTTTTTCCCCAACAAACTTTATTATTAAAATGAAATAATTATTTAAAGTACAGAACACAAATTATGTAATAATAGATTTTTTTATTGATATAAATGAATTCTTAAATATATTTACACAAGTTTTTTTACTTAAATTATTCAAAAATTGTGAAATCTCCCTGTAAAATGCTATACGGTAAATATTTTTGTGTGAGGCGCGAATAGGTGGACAACGAGTGTGAAATCTCCCCGTGATTTTCACCGCGGTAAAATAATTGTGTTCAAGCGGGACATCCTGCCTTGAACGTTGTGAAATTACCGTGGTGAAAAAAAATAGACTGTGAACATACAAATGTTTTTTAGCTATTTTAAATCACGATTATTATTTCTTAAACCGATTTTTATACAGGTTTTATACTTTATACATCTATCTATCTTCCTATCTAATTTATAATCATTAACTGCAATGATGTAGGTATAGGTAGTTGTTATAGGCAAACATAAATATTTTGGGTAGATATATATTATCATACACTAAATAGGTAGTTACGTAAAAAATATTAAATTTGTTCCCGGACTTAAAAAAAAAAATTATTATACCATTATACCTATCATCATTGAGTATACGTACCTATATATTGTACAATATATATTATACTCAATGTTATCATTAATATTATTTCACCTAATGTTAGAATAATCCAGGGGTTGGCGTTCTAGAACGCATAGAATGGATAAAAGTTACCTATCTTGGTTCTGTATCGCAATAACATATTTTATAGTATTAGGTCGTAGAATCGTAGATCTATATTGGTTAAATACCTAACAAATAACTTTTAAATATTCACAAATAACGCGAACGATTTTATTTTAAAATCATATTTTTTTCAAACAAGCATACATCAACACCTATCATACATAAATCATACACATTATACCTATAGTTATTAAATAATTGCAACAAAAGAATTATAAAATTCGTATGAGGTAGTGTTTTGGTAAGGGGTATAGGTATATTATAGGTACATATAGATAGGTACCGGTACTTACGTAGTTTTTTGAGAATTTTTAAAATTAGATACTCAGTTTTATCGATCAGCTGTCTACGATATTTTTAAATATCGGTAAATCATATACGCATGGACAAATTAAAGTTATATACTTATTTAGTTATATCTATTAAAGCTTTTGGCAGAAATTAGCATAAATATGAAATTTTAATAACATTCTTTTTTACATAATATATAAAACTCAGATTTAAGTAATTTAATCCCAAAACTACGATATTTAACTGCAATGCATCAAAGGATCATTTTTACCTCAATGTGTTGAAGAGTTTCAGACAAAACTTTGGGGACTGGACTCGAATTAGTACGTCACTAGTACCCCCCCCCCGTACGATATGCCAATAACTTTTGAAGGAGTAGAGCACTAACGACCGGATGAATAACACAGTGAAGGACTAACGAATAAAAGATTTTTGGACCCAAAATTCGAAATCTAAATTAGCATGTCCTTAGAACCCATTGTAGGAAATTCAAATACAATTTTAAGGGATGGAGCACTAACGACGGGATAAGAAGCACTAACGTGCACTAACGAAGCACAAACGAATGAAATTTGTTTGGGCCCGAAATTCGATGTGGGGGGTGTAGGCATGTCTCCAGCACCCTGCTGTACGAAATGCGAATAACTTTGGAAGGGATGAAGCACTAACGACGGGATAAAAAGCACTAACATGCACTAACGAAGCACAAACGATCGCCCTGGGTTCGGACCCGAAAATCGCAATGGGGGGGGTGCCGGGGACATGGACCTAAGTCTAAACGAGATACTGTTGAAAAAAGTCGAAGCAATATTACTGCCCCAAACGGTGACGATAGACACAAAAAATTTTTTTTAAAAAAACCAAACATCATTGTTAAATCAATACGCTCCGCTCAGAATCTAATATTTAAGTTTTTTAATTTTTGATATATGGACATTCAAATGACGGAACAAGTTCTATTGATGACGGTTTAGTTATCCACGAAATATTATAATCCGTGTAATTGCTTGAAGTGGAGAAACCGCGATTCCGATGGATGCAAAGGTTGTCCATTTCGTGAAACGTACAATAACGCGATGCGCAACATATATATTTCTTTAATATACAATTTAAAACAAATGATGTACTGACTACTTGTCTACTTATGACTCATTGTGTCGATCGTAATATTAATTTATAAAATTAGCAAGAATTCGGATACAGGATTTACCCCACCGGGTGTATATTATAGTATATGTCTATTGTCTATATGTCCTATCGCGGCTGTCGGTATCATCAAAGGATCTTAAAGGTACCTTAATTATTATAAATAGATCACTGCGATATATTTTATTTTGTTTAATGAAATAATTTAAACCTCTGAAGCCTATTGTGTTAGACCACTTGTGTTCAAGCTGTGGACTTATACTCATCTCATGTTTTAAGCCAGCGTCAATTTTATTTAAATATACGTTTCGCTTTGAAAATGGACGTTATTGTGACTAATAGGTCGAAAGACGTTTATCTTCATGAAGGATTTCAATATATATTCGATAGGATGAGCGCTGACAATATCACAAAATATTATAGATGTCGCAGAAGGGATATTCACTGTAAAGGACGAATCCACGTAAATAACCAACATGTAATAGTTAAGGGAACCCACGGTGGCCATGACGAATCTCCTGTGGATGTAGAGGTAAGTTAAATAATTATAATCAATATTAAAACTTAAAAGTATAGATATTTTATTTTATAGGTAAATTGTAATATTGTATGCTTGATTAATCAACAGTAAATATTCATTGTCATTAAATACTAAATTTTTTAATTTTTTTACATATGCACGTATTGCAAATAAAAAATTGTAAACATTTTGTTTTGAAATGATTTAAAAAATGTATGTTTTCTCAGACTTGGGTAGTATTCCGAATACAGTATTCGGCAAGCACGGATTATAGGGGTGGCCAAGGGTGCACGGTCCCGGGGCTCATTGATTTTGGGGGCCCATCTTTATCCCCAAAATATATATTTTTAACGCGTCCAATAGTTTTCAAAAAAAAAAATTATTATTTAAGTAAGTAGGTAAATTATTATCAACAATTATAAAATAAAATTGTTCCCGATTTTATACTACGAAAAATTACTATAAATAACGAACTATATTTGCCAACAATTTTGTTTAAGTTTTTTTTTTTTTTGAGCATTTTAGATTACCGATTTAACTATTTAAGTATACAAAAAGTGAGTTATAAGGAAAAAATATTTGGCTCTTGTAAATTAGGTAGGTATTTCAGTTAAAAGTATTAATGCATATTAAACTAAACTTTAGAGGACCATAGTTAATAACCTAGCGAACCAAAGTTGATCACTTGACTGTCAAAATATTCAGAAAAAAAGTTTTACCAGAATCCATTATACCATTTGAAAAAATAAAGTCGATCTTATTATTAGTGCAACTGCGTGTTTAAAAATTTTAAAAATGTAAAACAATTGCCTGTTAAAAATAAAGAAACACGTCTTTTTTTGTTTTAACGAAATATCATCGATTCATAATTGTTAAAAAACCATATATATGATACACTCTGCATATTTTTTGTATAGTAAAAAATTATACAATAATATGTAATGATACAATTATTTTGAAGTTAAAGTTGAAAGGGGACCCACCAAGTGTAAGGTGTCCGGCTGGCTGGGGCCCAATTGATCCTTAATCCGGGCTTGGTATTCGGAATACTTTTTGTGAAGTATTCCTAATACGAATATTATTATCATAAAGTATTCCGAGTATTCGAATACATATTCTGAATACTTTTTTTAAGTATTCGGAAAATGTATTTGAATAACTTTTAAAAAGTATTTTACCCAAGTCTGTAATTTCTATAGCATAAATGTTTTTAGAGGTTAGGATTGTTTACTAAAAAAATCTTCAATTAATCTAATCTATATTTTAATTAGATGGCATCAACAATATGTAGGATAAAAAGAAGAGCTGCTGATACAATGGAAGCCCCGGCTGTAGCAATTAACCAGTGTATAGGTAAAATAAATATTATAACATATTACTTACAAAATATTAGTTTATTCACTAAAACATAGTATATAAAACACTTTTAATTAATATAGTAAAAGATCATAGCTTTATATTGAAGCCAATATAATAGTATTATGTCAAATATGAATACAATAGTTATTTCAGATTTTATTAATTTACTTTAGTTGAATGTACAATGAAATTAATTATTGAATAAGTAATATTATTCTTTTTATGTCATTAGGATAGGTACTTATTAGTTATTAATATTTTACAAATTTAATTTTTTAAGTAAAATTAATTTAACATAAATATTATAATTTTATTTGCATATTATTATTATTACATGTATGCACTATGGCTTATGAACTATAATGTATTAATTTGTTTAGATGGATTATCTGTTGCTGGTAAAGGAGCCTTATCATCTATAAACACATTAAAAAAAACTGTGCGACGGGTAAGACGTCAAAATGGGCCACAAATTCCTGTTGCCCCTTTGACATTATTTGAATTGGATATCCCTGACAGTTTTAAGGAGTATGAAGTCGAACCAGGAGTATTTGAGAATTTTTTACTATGTGATACTGGCCCTGAGATTAATAGAATTCTTTTATTCGGTCGTCAAAGAGGTTTAGAAGTATGTTCTTAAATCATTTTGATAGTATTACCTTAATAATAAAACCAATTAATTTTTAAGAATTCCTTATTTTTGGGTTCATTTTAGATATTATCAACATCTGAACAATGGTTTGTAGATGGGACTTTCAAAATAGCTCCCATACTATTTTCTCAAGTTTTTGTAATATTAGGATGTCGAAACGGAGGTGTACATCCATGTGTTTATGCTATATTGCCAAATAAAAGTCAAGCAACATACAACAATTTGCTTGTACAAATAAAAAATTTATCGCCGGGCATCAACGTAGGAAGTGTCTCCGTGGACTTTGAACTAGCGATCCACAACGCGTTTAGGAACGAATTTCCTGAAGTTGAAATTCGTGGATGTTTTTTCCATCTTCTTCAGAATTTGAAGAAACAAATTGGAACTGCAGGGTTGATGGCGTAAGCTGAAATATAAAATTTTAAATGTAAACTATGTACAAATTATAATTATGTATTTTTTTTTAGTTCTTATAGAAATAACGCAGATTTTAATTTATACGCACGTATGATAACTGCCTTGGCGTTTGTTCCTCCCGTAAACGTCGTTGAAAGCTTTGAAATGTTATGTGAAGAGTTGGAACGGGTAGAGCCTACATTACAGCCAATTTTAGATTGGCTGGAAATGTATTATATTGGAATATTGAGAAGAGAAGGTGTGAGGAGGGTACCAGCATTTCCGATTGAGACATGGAACTTGTACGATAGAGTCCTTACTGAACAAATGGTAAGACACATTTTTTAAAAATAATCTTATGTTTCTATACAACAGTAATAAATTATAGTAGTAATTATTAAAAAAATATTCATTAAGATCAAGTTAGGAAAATAAATTAACACATGTTAAAATAAAAGTACTATGGAATTAATTAATTATAATACATTTTTATAAAAAAATTGAGCTCAATAATTAATCAATACAAAATGTATAGTATTAGTGTAAGATTTGCATTTTTTATTCATTTTGTTATACAATTTATATGGTACATTCAAATTTCAAACTCATATAATATAATATAAATTATACACAATTATAGGTTGTGTAAAATTATATAAATGATATAAAATCTTAAGAAATTAGCATCTTTTTTGGTTTAAGTATAGATTTTTTCTTTAATTAATTATGTATCATGTGAGGCACACAATTACAATCACAATCACAATATAATATAATAAATATACAATATTATACATACTTAACATAATATTTTATTTAAATTGTTCTATCTATTGCTATGGTATCATTATTTAACTTTTAATTTTTAAATAAATAAATATTATAGTGTGTTAGTGACCCAACTAAAATCAAATGTTAAATAATATTTTTAAAAAGTGTCCAATTTATAAAATTTACAGATTTTAATCAATAAGAATAATAAAATTCCATTTAGGTAGTAATATTAAACCAATTTTTGTTATACTTTTATAATAGCTGTTTACTTGAAATGGTTTTGTTAAAAATAGAAAACAAACAACGTAGCAGAAGCTTCTCATCGGCGACTGCAAGCACAGCTCAGCATGAATCATCCGACCATCTGGCAGTTTATAATTGAATTGAAGAAAGTTCAGGCAGAAAGAGATCTGTATTATGAGTTTCTTGTTGGAGGCCATGAACCACCTCCATCAAAAAAAAAATACGTAGAAGCATCAGACCGCATTTTAAATTTAGTTCTACATTTCAGGGACCGTAATATTATTGAGTATTTAAGAGGTTTAGCTCATAATTTTGTAATGGACCATTAATAAAAAAATATAATATTCACTATTTCACAATTTCTGCAAAAAATAAAAATTCACAAACCTAATTAAAGTTAAATAATAACCAAGGATAAAAACATTCTTATTTTATAGATTAAATTGGATATCCTTTATTGCAGAGAATGCAGATTCCCGAGGTAGCTACATTAAACCTACATTAAACAATTTGTCTAAATATTAAATTTCTTATTTAATAAATACCTGTTAATGTAGTGTAGTCACAAACATAATAGGTACCTATTTTATTATTCAGTGGCAATAACTAATAGGCAATATGATGAACTAACCTAGCCTTAGAACTTTCAAGCAAAAACTCAGAAGTTAGCCTTTTTTAATGATCTTAATAACACATAACTACATAAGTAAATAAGTAATAATATTGTAGTGTATTACTACTATATGCCACATGGTCATAAATTATGAATATCCGAGTACGAATTATAGAAATATCAAATATTTTACTTATCATACCTAATAATTATAAGTTCCAATCTAATTCTAAAGGTGAGTATAGAGAGCTTAAGTCATTAGAATAACTCCAAATTAATATTGTATTTATGTCTATGGTATATTGGTATTAACAAGTAACAACATCATGTGGCTTGAACTTTGAGTTACTTAATTTATACATATTTGTCGTAAAAGTGAAATTTCACGTGCGATTCACTAATATTAAGTCAATTTTACAAGTTATACTCACGTTATTTAAGTTGAAAAGTTTAAAACGTCAATCAATAGGTAGGTAGTAGATAGATTATGTAACACTGTAACAGACATGAAACAACAGTTATCAGTACCAACTATAAAAATGAAAAGAACATTAACTACCCAGCCAGACGCCAGTACCCACCAGCGACCATAGAATGACAGATAAATAAATTAGTAATTAGTTATTTTTCCTACAATACCTGGAAGCGATAATGTGCATTGTGCATATAAAATTACAACTTACTGCTCAGTATTTATTTTCGAATTTGAAATTTTTTAACGACTACCGAGATAAGAGATTACTGAGATTCTGGTCATGAACATAAAATAAGATTCTGGTAGTCATAGATAATATCACAGAACAAGATAAGATAAATTATCTCACGAACTAAGTTCCATAAGTATCCACTAAGACAGCGCTAGTAATGCTAAAAGGAAAATATCCCCCCGAACTCCGCCTGTTGAACTACATTTCTTGGTCAACCCCTGCCCCTCACACCCTCCGACCTTGTAGTGTCCAGTCCTGTATATCTTAGTCCGTGTATTATCTATACTGCTGGTAGTCTGTTGAATAGATAATAAAGATATGGATAATAACCACGATTTAAGATAGTATGGTTGCCCAACGAGGTATGATAAGACGGCATTGGACTAGCGCTTCTAGTGGACTATTTTATAATTGATAATATAATATGATCATTAATATATTTTTATTGTATATAGGGATAACTTACGTGGAACCTTGTTCTACGTTTTCAATCCATTGCTATGAAAGTTGAATATTTTATACATTTTTAATTACAAAATCATTATTTTTCATCTGGAAACAATATATAAGGAGCCTCCTATTAAATTTTCAATCTTTTTTACCCAACAAATAAATTGGTATTGATATTTATAGAAAAAAAAAACCAATAAAATTGGAAACTGAAAATGTCTATAAACAGCTCGAAATATTTTGGAAATGTTATGGACTATGGTGTATAGAAAATGCTAGTATAAACATTGAGTCAAAAATGTCATGTATTTACGATCATTTGTTTTAGAGTTACACCAAAAGCCGAAATCGATTTTGCGTAAAAATTCCCGTTTTTCCTTACTTTTTATTTTGTTTTTCCAGACGCTTTTGAAAACTTACTTTACTTTTGACCCCCCCAAGTACCAAGTAGATTCACTTTCCTGTCAGAAAAGATACTGTTGAAGAAAATCTATGCATTTGTACTGACCTTAAAGGAAATGACAGACACAAAAAAATTTAAAAAAAAAACACATATTATATCATACAATTATGATGATAATAAAAAAAGCTTTAAGAAAGCAAAAAATTATTTGAATGTTTGGCATCAACAGCATCTAAATTGTGAATACAAAATGAAAATAGTCTATTATAATATATTATTTTTACATCTTATTATAGGTAAAATAAAAATAAAATAAAATAAAAAACAAAATGAAAATGAATATATAATATACTTAACTACGCATTGGCTACATTAAAATAATATTAATGTAATTTGTGATTTCCAATGAACAATTGAGCTAGATAGGTACTTGGAAATGTTAATCACCCTTCTGCTTGGGAAAAATAAAAAGTTGTACACAGTAAACTGTGTTAAAATTGTTGGACATTATCAAAACTTATTCACATAAATGTTAATAAATATAATTTTTTTATGGTAATAAAATAATTAGGCGTGGCTACATGATTAAAAATTAAAATATGCTAATATTCTGTTTGAAGAATGTATATAATATATTATATTGTCTGATGTATAATATCCGCTACAAGCAAACAAGTTGTTACCTAGTAATAGATTTATAAATCCAAAAATATTAATAACAATATTTAATATTGTGGTAGGTAGGTACATGATATTGGTACCTATAAAGACTATAACTTATAAGCTACAAATCATTGGTGCAAATAGGGGGGGGGGAGAGGACTTAATCCCCCAATTCAAAGGTCCGTACTTAGTACTAAGCATATTATAATTTTTAGAAAATAATATAGGAATATCGTGAGGGTTTAGTTCCCCACCAAAATATTGGGCTATTTGCGCCTATGCTACGAATAATAATATATTATACTTAAACTTAATAGTTAATACTAATTTGACTTTGTAGCATATAATTTTATTAAGTGCATGGGTTTGCTCAATTCACGATAAAATAATTTTCTAATAATATTGTATAATTTTTATTTTGAAACAAACCTTTTTTTTAGTCTTAGTTATTTAAATAGTTAATAGTGCCTTTTCTTACATATGGTATGCATTATGTAACAAATATGAATAAAGTTCAATTTTGGATTTGTACCTACGTGGCCCGTGAGAAGTACATAGGAGGTTATCAAATATCTGTAGTGCCAAACAAAGCAATATAGGCTATAAATATTACGAACTAATAATTACATCAAACGGTCAGGATATTGTATTAATTGTAGGTACATTAGCATGTCTATTAAAAATCATATACGTAGATAATAATTTCATAATTATTGTCACGTGCCATTAAGCCGTGAACGTATACCTACAAAATATGTTGTTATTTTTTCTTTCTGAAAAGTATTGTTTTGTGGGACTTTGTTATATTATTATTTATTATGGATTCTAAAATAAAAGCGTTTGCCCCTGGCCCAACAGAGTGCAAGCACTGAAAGCGAATGGCTCCGCCCCCGCGAGCATGCCTATGAGCTGCGCATTTATGCACAAACGGAAAAATTTGATAATCGGGGATAAACGCATGAAATATTCGGGTGGTGAGGTTTGAAAAAATTGTATAATCTTTGTACCTAATGCCTATTGTTATACCTATATTAAATGATAGGTAGGTACATAATTGGTATTATTGATATTTTGAGGGGAGGTTAGCGCTTCGCGGCGAAACGGTCGCGGAGAATGGTCCGGCGGCGAAACGGTCGCGGCGAATGGTCCGGCGGCGAAACGGTCGCGGCGAATGGTCCGGCGGCGAAAAAGTCCGCGGCGAAAAAGTCAGCGGCGAAACGGTCCGGCGGCGAAACGGTCGCGGCGAATGGTCCGGCGGCGAAACGGTCGCGGCGAATGGTCCGGCGGCGAAACGGTCGCGGCGAATGGTCCGGCGGCGAAAAAGTCCGCGGCGAAAAAGTCAGCGGCGAAACGGTGCGGCGGCGAAACGGTCCGCGGCGAAATGGTACAGCGTCGAAACGGTCTGCGGCGAAATGGTCTGCGGCGAAACGGTCGCGGCGAAACGGTCGCGGCGAATTGGTCGCGGCGAAATGTCCTAGACCCGTG